AAAAAAAAAAAAAAAATGCATTGACCCATGTCACTTTAGTTTTGTGTATCTCACTGTAATAAATTATATTTCAATAAAATGCATTAAAAAAAAAAGGAGGAGAATATGAAGCCCCTGGGGGAAGAGTGCTCCCGCAGAGGGAGCAGCAAGTGCAAAGGCCTGAGGTGGGAACGGTGTAGAATGCTCAAGGGACAGAAAGGAAGGCTGTTGCCTAGAATGTACTGAGCATGGGGGGAGGGGCTGCAGCAAAGGTCAGCAGAGCCTTATAAGCTGTGGGGGTGAGTAAGGGCCGTCGTGGCAATCCACTGGACGGCTTGGGCAGGGCGTCAGGACTTGTCACCACAATCACTCCAGGAGGTGAAGCGAAGCCCAGGCAAGGGATGATGGGGCCCAGCCTGGAGCAGTGGCTGAGAGTGCGGACATGGGAGTAGATACCTGGTAGATGGTGACCCTGGCACTGAGGTCGGGCTCCATGTGCCGCAGGCCCAACCTGGCCAGGTCCACGGGGTCCTGGGGCAGGTCCCGGGGCACGGGGAAGGGGTTGATGTTCTTGAAGCGGGAGAACCACAGCTTCATGCGCAGGAACTTGAGCATGGGGTAGCTTTTGTGTCCAAATATCTGAATCAGCAGGAACTCCGTCTCCTTGTTGGGCATCACCCCTGTGCAGGCAGACGCAGGCAGAGCCCCAAGAGGGAAAGGAGGGAGAGAACAGAGTGAGAGAGATGGAGGAAGAGGGGAGACAGACAAGCAGAGGAGTACAAGACCAAGAATCAGAGGCAGGGAAAACTGAAATCAAAGACTGGGAGGAGAGAAGACTGGTAAGGAGAACAGACTTGGAGAGAATCAGAAATGAAAACCCAGAGAGCGGCAGGAAAGGATAAGTGATGGTAAGAGCCATGGGGCGACAGACAAGGCAAGGAGAGGACTCAGAGGCACGGATGTAGGGAGGGAACCGAGACCTGGAGAGGCGGCTGCCGGCCACTGGCCCCCACCCGACGTGCACCGGCCTCACCATAGTTCTCCATCTGCTCCAGGACGGCGACGCCGCACTCCTGCTGCCGAGGGTAGTGCACGAAGATGCGCTGGATGATGTTGCGGGGCCGGAAGACCTCCTTGGGGAAGACATCGAGCAGCAGGTTGTAGACGGCCAGGTCCCGCTCGACGCCATAGTGCCGCATCTTGCGCAGGGCCAGGTAGATGAAGTCGACGTGGCCCCGCTTGCGCACGCTGTGCTGCCCGAAGTTCTGCACCGTTCGCACGAAGCTCGCCTTGTCCCGCTCCCCACCGGGAGCCTGCTCGAACAGCTCCTCGTGGGGCGCCAGGGCCTTGATGGGCCCCCTCCTGGGCTCGGGGGGGCGTGGGACCAGTGACGAGTCGGAGCTGTGGGTGGCTGCGCTGCGCTGGAGGCCCCGTGGAGCCTGGGGAGGGACCTGGGGACAGAGGACCACTGCTGGAATCTGGAACTTACCGGTGCCGGTTGGGGGCTGTAACAGAGGCATTCGGCAGCCTTCACGATGACTACAAACACAGCAAGGAGCACAGCCTGCCAAGTGACTTGTGTACACAATTGCCCCCTGCAGCAGTGAGAAAGGCCCACGTGTCCATCAACAAGGGAATGTTGAAACAAATGGCCATGTCCCTGAACAAGAATATCTGTAGCGGTAAAACGGACTGAGGAGGGTTCTTGCTGTGTGATCTGGAATAAGCTCTAAGGAATATTATTAAATGCAAAAAAGCAATGTGTCGAACAATGTGTAGAGTAGGTTTTCATTTATATAAAAAGGAAATACGTATGTGTGTGCTATTGAGTTGGTTCCAACTCATAGTAACATTAAGCTGCTAACCAAAAGCTTGGTAGTTTGAACTCAACATGGGAGAAGAGACCTGGTGATTTGCTCCCAGAAAGATTCCAGCCTAGGAATCCCTATGGGGCAGTCCTATAGGGTTCACTATGAGACTATCAACCATTCCAAAGACAGAGAAATTCAAACAACCAAATTAAAAAGGAAAAACAGGTTTTGGAGTCAGCAGGAGTCTTGGCTTGACTGGTCTTGGCCAGGTGATGGCCCATACCCCACTTCACTGCTCAGGCCATGGAGTAGATTAGATTCCAACTCATAGTGACCCTGTAAGACAGAGTAGGGCTGCCCTGTAGGGTTTCCAAGGCTGTAAATCTTTACAGAAGCAGACTGCCACAGTTTCTCCTGCAGGGCTTCTGGAGGGTTCGAACCACTGACCTTTCAATTAGCAGTCAAATGCTTAACCACTTGAGTCAGATAAGGTGGTTTTTTTTTTTTTTTTTTTTTTTTAAAGGCATTTAAAGTGACATTTTAGGCAATTAATACTACAGGAAGGAGCCCTCACTGTGCGGTGGTTAAGTGCTTGGCTGCTAACCTGAAAGTTTGTCAGTTTGAACCCATCAGCTGCTCCTTGAGAAAAAAAGACCTGGTGGGCTGCTTCTGTTAAGATTACAGCCTTGGGGACCCTACGGGGCAGTTATAGTCTGTCCTGCAGGGTTGCTGTAAGTTGGGGTTGACTCAATGGCAATGGATTTGATTTTCTGATGTAATATTACAGGCAGTAGGTGCAGAGGGCAAAAATTAGAAAGGAGGTGCTGGAGTCGCCAAAGTAGGGGAAATACCACAAATGAGATGATGCCAACGAACTGCTTACCACAGGGCCTGGCAGAACACACGCTCAGGAACGGAACTATTAGGGTGATCACCACTGCTCTCTATGGCCATTAACTTGCTTGTGCCTTCTGGAGCTCTGGTGGTACAGTGCCAAAGGCATCTAACTGCTAAGCAGAAGGCTGGTGGTTCAAACTCGCCAGCCACTCTGCAGAAGACTGGGCAATCTACTTCTGTAAAGATTTACCACCTTGGAAACCCAAAGGGTGAGTCGGAATCTACTCCTCGGGCGTGAGTTTGGTTTGGTTTGGTTTCTGGTCATTTTGGGTAAGGGAAGGAAGTTCACATTTTCTGCCCTCATCTTTAGAAATGGATGTAGGAGCCACCATAATCACTACCCAAATCCACTTAGCTCATACATTATTTTCAAATTCAACCCCCTTACCCACCTGGGAGGGAGCTCTGGTAGCATAATGCCTAAGGCACTTGACTGCTAACCAGAAGGCTGGCGGTTCAAACCCACCAGCCACTCCTCAGAAGGAAGATGGGGCAATCTACTTCCATAGTGATACTGCCTCGGAAACCCAAGGAGGGGTCGCTATGAGTCGGGTCTGGCTCAACGGCACATAACACAACCCACCTGGGAAGGAGCTCTGGTGGCACAGTGCCTAAGGCATTTGACTGCTAGCTAGAAGGTTGGCGGTTCAAACCCACCAGCCACTCTGTGGAAGGCAGACCGGGCAATCTACTTCCATAAAGATTTACCATGTTGGAAACCCAATGTGTGTTGCTATGAGTCAGAATTGTCTCAGTGGGAGTGGGTTTTTTTTTTTTTTTTTAGCTCACTTGGGGACCAGCACCTCCTAAAATAAGTTAGAGACTTTCAATCTCAGAGCAGATAGGCCAGCTCAGAGCCCCCAGAGCTGGTGTTACAGGGTGGGATTTTGAGGAGGTTAGAAGCAAATCCCAGGCCTTCCCCTGCCCAGCAGATCTGACCACCTGGCTGGCTGTTACCTGAGAAAAGGGGGCTCCTGTGAGGGCAGCCCCGCAGATGCTGCCCCAGCCCCGAGAGAGGCCCCGGGCCAGCAGGATGGCTTGGCTCCAGCTCATGACGCTTCTCAGATGACCACCTGGCTGGAGGAAGAAACACCGTCAGCCTGGCACCCTCACTAGCAGAGACAGGACCCCCACGTGGGCTGAAGCCACATTCCAAACTCTATGCTAACTGAGCCCGTGACTCTGGACAAGGCCCACTGTGACTATCAGTGGCCCTAGTTTCCTCATCCACAAGACAGGGCTTACATGACTTGTTACAATCAAGGGTCCCTGCTTCTGCTGGGCCAAACCCTTCACTTTCTGGAGGAATTTACTTCTGCAACAGTCCCCTTCCCTATTGGACTTAAAAAACAAAACAAAACAAAAAAAACCCATCCTTATTCATACTGTACAGTTCACCTTTAAAATGTACAATTCATTGGTTTTTAGTGTATTCAGACTTGTACAACCATCACCACCATCTAATTTCAGAACATTTTCATCACCTCCAAAAAACCCTGTACCTATTAGCAGTCACATTTTCTCCTACTCCTATCCCTAAGGGGAGCTCTGGTGGCGTAGTGCCTAAGGCATTTGACTGCTAACCAGAAAGCTGGCGGTTCAAACCCACCAGCCACTCCTGGGAAGGAAGACTGGGCAATCTACCTCCATAGAGATACCACCTCGGAAACCCAAGGAGTGGTTGCTGAGTCGGGATCCACTCAAAGGCAGTGCCTTTGGTTTTTTTTTTTTTTTTGGTCTACCCCTAAGCAAACATTAATCTCCTTTCGAAGGATTTGCCTTTCTGGGCATTCATATAAATGGAGTCATACGTGTGCTTTTGCGTCTGGCTTCTTTTACTCAGCGTAATGTTTTCAAGGTTCATTCATGTTGTAGCATATAGAACTTATTATTTTTTTATTGCCCAAAAAATACTCTACGGTGTGACTTTATTTTGGTTGTTTTTACATTTTGACCATCATGGCTAATGCTTGTACATGAACATTCATGTACAAGTGTTTGTGTGAACAAAGCTTCTGGGACATGTGGCAACTGTTTAACATTTTGTGGAACCGCCAAACTATTTTCCAAAGAGGCTGTACCATTCTACATGCCCACCAGCATCAGAGTTCCAATTTTTCCCCATCCCCCCCGACACTTGTTATTGTCTTTTTTATTAGAACTATCCTAGTCCGTGGAAGCAACACTGGGCAATCTACTTTTGTAAAGATTTACCATCTTGGAAACCCAATGGGAAATGCTACGAGTCGGGATCGACTTGATAGTGGGTTTAGTTTTGCGAGTGTGAAGTGGTACCTCACTTTGGTTTGGATTTGCATTTCCTCGGTTATTAATGATATTGAGACTTTTTTCCTGTGCTTATTGACCATTTGTTTGTCTCTTTGGAGAAACGTCTTTTCAGAGCCTTTGGCAATTTTCAAGAACTTGGTTGTCTTTTTATTATTGAATTGTAAAAGTTCTTTATTCTGGACTAGACCTTTATGATTTACAGTTTCTCTCATTCTGTGGGTTGTCTTTTTCCTTTCTTGGTGGTATTGCTTCTAGCACAAAATTTTAAATTTTGATGAAGCTTAATTATCTGTATTTTTATTTTGTAGCTATCCTTTTGGTTTTGTATCTAAGAAACCATTGCCTAGCCCATAGGATTTACTCCTGTTTTCTTTTAGGAGTTATATTGTTTATTTCCTACATTTAGGTCTGTGATCCATTTTAATTTTTTGGATATGGTGTAAGGCAGTGGTCATTTACTATTTTGCATGTTGATATCCAGTACCATTTGTTGAAAAGTCTAATTTTGCCCCATTTATTATTTTGGTACTCTTATTGAAAACCAATTGACCATAACTGTATGAATTTATTTCTGGATTCTCAATTTATTCCACTGGTCTATACGTCTAGCCTTAAACCAGTACCACACTGTCTTGTTTACTGTGAGTTTATTAAGTTTTGAAGTTGGGAAATGTGTGTCCTTCAACTTTGTTCTTTTTCAAGATTTATATTGGCTAGTCTAGGTCTCTTTCATTTCCATAGGAATTTTAGGATTGTTCATTTCTACAAGAAAGCCACCTGGGATTCTGATCAGGACTGTGTTGACCCTCTAGATCAATTTGGGAGTATTGCCGTCTCAACCATATTCATCTTCTGATTCACAAACATAGGATGTGACAGCTTTCCTCTCTATTTAATTCTTCTTTAATCTCTTCCAACAGAATTTTGCAGTTTTCAGTTTATACTTTTGTTAAATTTTTCTTAAATATGGAATTGTTTCCTTAATTTCATTTTCGCATTATACATGTACAGAGATACATTTTTACATGTCAATCTTGTATCTCGCAACTTTGCTGAGCTCATTTATTTGTTCTAATCGTTTTTTAGTTTATTCCTTAGGATTTTCTACATACAAGATCATGTCATCTGCAAACAGAGTTATATGTCTTCCTCCAGTGCCTAAGGCATTTGACTGCTAATCAGAAGGCTGGTGGTTCAAACCCACCAGCCACTCCTTGGAAGGAAGACTGGGCAATCTACTTCTGTGGTTACACCACCTCGGAAAGCCAAGGAGGGGTCGCTATGAGTTGGATCTGACTTGATGGCAATGAGTTTGTTTTGTTTTCCAATCTGGATGCCTTTTCTTTCTTTTTATTGCCTAACTGCCCTGGCTAAAACCTCTAGTACAGTGTTGTATAGAAAAGGTGAGAGCAGACATGTTTGCCTTCTTTGTCACCTTAGGGAGAAAGCATCCAGTTTCACACATTCAGTGTGATGCCAGCTATGGGTTTTTCATAGATACCCCTTTTCAGGTTAAAGAAGTTCCTTCTATTCCTAATTTGTTGAGATTTTTTTTTTTTTAAATCATGAAAGGGTGTTGGATTTTGCCAATTGTATTTTCTATTGAGATGATCATATATTTTTGTCCTCCATTAATATAGTGTATTACATGAATTGATTTTTGAATGTTAAACTAACCTTGTACTTCTGGGATAAATCATGGTGCATAATCCTTTTTATATGTTGCTGGGTTTGGTTTGTTAGTATATTGTTGAGAATTTTTACACGTATATTCATAAAAGATAAGGGCCTCTAGTTTCCTTTTCTTGTTTTGACTTTGTTTAGTTTTGGTATCAGGCTAATAACGGCTTCAAGGAATGAGTTGGGCAGTGTTTGTGGTAGCACAGTACCTAAGGCATCTGACTGCTAACCAGAAGGCTGGCGGTTCATACCCACCAGCCACTGCTCGGAAGGAAGACTGGACAATCTAATTCCGTAGAGATAATGCCTTGGAAACCCAAGGAGGGGTCGCAATGAGTCGAATCGACTCGACAGCAGTGAGTTTGGCTTTTTGGTTTTAATCACCATTTAAACCTGTTCTAGCATCTGCCATCTTGACCCCAGGTCTCCCTCCAACCTTTGCCCACATCTCTGGTCCCTTTATAGCAAAACTTCTCCCAAGAGGTGTTTACACATTCTCTCCATCCTGGCTGCTCCTCCCTCCACTCCACTGAAATCTCTCTTGAAAAGGCCTCTGTGTTCTGCATCGTGTAAAGCTATGGTTGCTTCTCAGGACTCCATCTTGCTCAGTTTCTCAGAAGCATCTGGCACAGGTGACCCACCCTCCTGTTTTTTCCTTGACACTCAAACATTCTCTTGGTCTTCTTCTTAGTGCTAGGCCTGTTTCTCAGACAACCAGCAGGATACATTTCCTCCTCTAAAGTCTGCACTGTTGATAAGTGCTTGAATGTGTAGATGACTTACTGGGATCTTATTAATAAGTGCTATTTCTGATTCAGCAAATCTGGGCTGGGGCCAGAGACTCTGCACATCAAAGACATTCCCCAGATGCAGTTGATGCTGCCGGTCTAGGGACCACACTTTGGGTAAGGAGACTGCACACTGTGTCTGTTTGCTTCCCTGCAGTGTCTTAACATGTTCCTCTCTTCTCTGTCTTTCCTGTATGCAGCTCTAGTGGTTCTCAAACTTTGTTCATATTGGAATCATTTAGGGAGCTTTTAAAAATGTCCATGCCCAGGAAAATGCAGAACAGAATTCCAAACTCTCATGGACTCCACATTTTCTACAGCCATAGAGGCTGGTGAACCCCTGAAACTAATGCCCTGAGATAATCTTTAAACCTTAAAGCAAAAATATTCCTTGAAGTCTTACAGGCATATGAGTTGAACATGTACCTGAGGTAGATACACTCCTTGGAGAGAACAATCATGGGAGAAAGAAGGGCTGTTTATGCACAGGGAGACAGCTCAGGGGGCAGGAGTGCGTGGAGGGATGGACACAGGGAAGGGGTAACTATAGGGAGGAAGTGGGAGAGGAGCTGTTGCATTGGGGTAAATTGACAATGTCATGAGACAACAGTGTGTGTGAACTGCTGTATGGAAAGTGAATTTACTCTGTAAACTTTTACACAAATCACAATATAAATAAATAAATAAAAATTCCCTGAAGTCTTAAAACCAAACAATAGTTTAGCTTAACTTGTGAAGAACATCTGCCCTGAGCATGGTGCTCCCTGAAGATCTAACTATGGGATCAGATTGACAACAGCCACTGGAAAGATTAGATATGAACCTTAGGGGGCAGTGAGTTTATGTGAAGGAGGGAGGAGCAACTCAGCAAAGGAGAGTGAGAATGGTTGCACAACTCGAAGAATGTAGTCCATGTCACTGAGTGAATGTGCAGAAACTGTGGAATTGGTGGATGTTTTGCTGTCTATATTGTCAAGAACAACATAAATGAAATTAAAAAAAAATTCCCATGCCCAGGCCACACCCCAGATAAACTAAATCAGAATATTTGGAGGCAGGGCCAGGTATCAGATTTTTAAATACTCCAATGACTCTTACGCAGTTAATATTAAGAACTACTACTCTAAACCTTTGCTACTCAAAGTGTGTTCCAGGGGTTAGTAACTTACAAATAACAGGGAAACACTGTCTGATGTAGTGCCAGAAGATGAACCCCTCAGGTGAGAAGGCCCTTGAAAGACGAAGGGGAAGAGCTGCTGCCTCAAAGTAGCGTCGTGGAAGTTAAAGTTAATGACGTGGGTGGAGTAAAGCT